ATCTCTATCTCTATCTCTATCTCTATCTCTATATCTATATCTATATCTATATCTATATCTATCTATCTATCTATCTATCTATAAACTGTGTATAAAGATGTGTAAATATAGAAGCGAAATATTATATACATGTACAGGTATGATGACATAACAATGTTGATGTAATGACTGTAAGATGTTGTAAAAGGGAAAAAATAATAAAATATCTGCAAATAAAAGCAATTAGCAGAGTCTTGTCCCAGCAAAACCCCTTTTATTTTACATGACTGAATTCCTTTCATTCACAATCAAGAAGGCTTTAGCAAACAGTCTTTCCGAGGAATATTTATCCACACGCACCTTATCTCGCTTGGCAAGCTGTCAGGTAACTAGTTTTCCAACTAGTTGGAGAGCTGCTAAATAAAATAAAAATATCCTGGAACAATTCCAAGAGCTTAACAATGATAATACGTAAGGAAGAGATTAGAATGAGACACAAATTGAATTAGCGCATTCCTGGAACCGAAAACGCTAAAGGAGGAGTGTTTAACCTTGGCTACTTGTAGACTTCAACTCTCAGAATTGAGAGATGGCCGGCTGGGGAATTCTAGGAGTTGAAATCTTAAATCTTAAATCCACAAGCCTTAAAAAGGCCACGATTGGACACTTCTGTGCTAAAGCATCCAATCTAATGTTCTGAGCCAGGCTTCCTTAAAAAGCAAGAAGCAGAGACTTGGTCCCTGCCAAACCCCTTTTATTTACACGCCTGTGGATTCCTTTCCTTAAACAGGCAGCAAGGCTTAGCAAACAGCCTTTCAGGGGAATGTTTATCCACACGAATCTTATCTCGCTTGGAGCGATGCCAGATAACTAGTTTTTAAACGCAAAACTTGGCACAGAGTCTCTTATAGCCACAAACAGAACTTTCCACTCTTGAAAGGACCGACGGAACGAATTGTTTCCTGCAAAAGCCCCCTCCCCATTTGCTCCTCCTTTGTTCCCTACGGGAGGGGCCAATCACCTCCAAGGTGTGGCTTTACTCCTGAGTCAACCCTGCTTTCTTAGTTGTTCTTATCTTCTGGCAGCTCTGCGCATGTGCAAACTGGGAACAGGCTCCAGCTGTTCTTCTGCCTCACTGCTGTCTAGCTCTCTCTCTGCCTCCGACGCAGAGCCCTCGTCTGAGCTTTCCTCAATCCCCAGGCGTGGCCCATGTTTCTCCCCAACCTCCTCAACATCCAACTCTCTGCCAACTCTCCTGGCTGCTGGCGGGCCACAACAAACTGTACCTTTTGCTGACATTTAGAGGTGAGAAATGTACAAAATCATAGTGTATGGCTTAAGGATTGTCTTCACACATCTAAAAATGTGGAGGGAAAGACAATCCCAAAATCAGGAAGAAAAGAACATTCAACTCTATAGTTTGCCCTGTCTAATATTGCTTTTGAGGTTATACAGGTATAACCATC